ACGGAGTGTCTCTCCTGCTTCAGTAGCGTGTCCCGCTGGTTATAAACGAGGAGGCGGAGAGAATGCGCTGCTTGGTTTCGGCTTGATATATTTAAATAAAACTAACACCGAGCTGCTTATAACGCTCAAAAAAGTTAAACTAAAATGCACAACTCTTGTTGGTTGCACCTGCGGGATGCACAATGAACCTAACGCGCCATAATTTTAATTCTATATTCGTGAAGAATGAGCCAACCGCATATGCTTAGTCCTGTTGGTCGGGACTCTCTGCTTTATAACTAATTAGTTTATTACAATAATCACACTTAGCTTTGCCATCGTTCTTCACCACATATTGCCACTCAACACATCTTGCGGTCTATCTTTAATGTTTAGATTATTGAAGGTGCTATTGACGTTTTGAGAAAAAAAATAATAGTACTGAAACTAAATTATTAAAAATAAACTTGCGGGACTCCGTTTATGTCCTGTGGCAACATTATTTTTATTACACTTTAAGTGATCTACTTGAGGTAGGTCACGTTTATCAATGGTAAGTTTTATCAATAACATAATGTGCATTGTCCTTTACCATACAAAAAAAGAAAAAAAAAACATTTATTTATATAGCATTTATTTTTAAATGCATTAAAAGGCAAGTGCATATCTTAGGCTTGAGTTTGTTCACACTCTGCCTGTATTAACATAAATGCTGTATTTTAATATAGCTAATTTTGATTAATTAGCTTTAACTGACAGCCTTTTCTTCTTTTCCCGCGGTTATGCGGCATTATATTTTACACGCATATGCAAAGTGACTGAATATGAAATTAAAATACAAAACTTACTAAGCCATTAAGTAAAAAAAACAAAACAAAACAAAACAACAGTTATACTTTAAAGCAGAACATTGACGTTTTGAAACAAAAAAACGGAACTGAAACTAAATTATTAAAAATAAACCTGCCAGACTTAATTTATGTCCTATTTTCATTATTCGTTTATTTTCATTATTCGTTTATTATTATGTACTGAAACATAAAATGAGATAGTAAAATATAATCAACAACGAAAATGTAAATAAAAACGTAAATTAAAAACATAAATGAAAATGTCTTGTCTTAGTCCTATCAAAATAGCAAACACTACATCTCTCTATATTTAAACTAAAAGACTGCTTTATTTATTTATTTATTTATTTATTTATTTATTTATTTATTTATTCATTTAAGACTAATTATTTGTACTGAATGTTTATGCTTTCACTTTAGTTGTCTTTCATTTCTTCAATTTTATTTTCCAAAACGAATCCTCTTTGCACTTAAAAAGTTTACAATAAACAGGTAAACAAATTTTAAATGTAAGTTGAGGTGATCGCAAGTTCACAACTGTGAGGTGATGTGCTCTACCGGCAGGATAATCTATATTATTTTGCTGTTTTTCATATGCGCACGTTTAGGATTTGAGATAATAACATTGCCATGATAGTCAAAGAAATCAAAACATTATTTTCACCCCAACGCAATTTAATCGGGCACTGAAGGCTAATAACTTAATTCTTATATTTGCTTTTTGACTTCTCACCATGTATCTTTTCTACAGCATAGTATAGTGTAAGAGCATGTCTATTACCAGAAAAACTAAATTAAAATTATATTTTAATTGAACACATCACATCACATACAGTAAGCTACGCCTACAGAACAGTCTGTTTAGCATTGTGAAAAGGCAAAGCTGAATATCTGTGGTTAAAGTGCCACCCAGCGGTCAAATGCTGCTGGCGCATCAAGTACCGCCGTCGCCGCGGTATGAATGGCGGCACAAGGAACACATTAAAGTAGTAACATCTGTAATAATCCAGTGTTTAAGCCAAATTTATAAAAGCTCATCGTCACACAGTGATCTTAACAATAACAGACGAGTATGCAGGCAGTCAATTACTAATTTATTAATGTCTCAGGAAGTTTTACCTTTATTTATTAATGAGCACTGTCATCAATATAAACGTCCCAGCTAGTTTATTCGCTCAGAGTTGTTTCCAGGTGGGCTGATTGATTCCTGCACACTCAAATACCTGACATTCTGTAAATTTAAACCAATCAGAAGATGGCCAAGGGTCTGCAAAAGTGTTTTTGTAATTATTTTAGTAATTATTTGCCCTTATAATTAAGGGCTTAAGCCCCTGATGTATTGTCAAAAGCCCCTGATCTTTTGCAATATGTTACACTTAAATAAAACTATAGGTATATATAATAAATAATATATAAGTATATATAATGGTGTATAACATTTAATTTGTTTTCTAAGTACTGAAAATTACGGCGTACATCACGCACATTCCACCTCACGCACTGTTTGTGTCGGGTCAGCTGTTCAGCAATACCTGTATCTACCGGCAGGTGGGAGTGGCACTGTTGTCACATGATGTTTAAAAAAATTCCGCCACTGCACTTCATTTATTCATTATTTTGAAGAGCTGAGGTTGATGAGGTAACTCTTTCGCGAAACTGAATAGTTCTAACTAATGAAGCTTAACATTTGTTTCCACAGTATAAAATGTGTGTAGTTTTGGTGAAATAAAATAACTGTAATGGATAAAATGTGCATCATATCAATGCATACATGCGAATTAGTCAGAAAAACATAAATTGTTCTAGCTTTCTAGATATGATATAGATATCTAGGCATATTTATCTAGATATGATTAAAGTTAAATCACAGTGAGTTCATTCATCTAGCATATTGTATAGCTACATTCTACTTTAACATGCTATGTCAGTTAGCAGGGGATTATAAATCGACTTTCTTGAGATGACCTGAGATGGCTGGAAGCAGACATACAGTTGTAGTCTGATTAGCCCCAGTTGAATTATTAGCCCCCTGTTCATTTTTTCCCCTATTTTCTGTTTAACGGAGAGCAGAATTTTTCAACACATTTCTAAACATAATAGTGTTAATAACTCATCTCTAATAACTGATTTGTTTTATCTTTGTCATGATGACAGTAAATAATATATGCCTTCATTTTTCAAGACACTTCTATACAGCTTAAAGTGACATTTAAAGGCTTTAAAGGCAGGTTAGGGTAATTAGGCAAGTTATTGTATAATGACGGTTTGTTCTGTAGACTATCAGAAAAAAAAAATTGCTTAAAGGGGCTAATACTTTTGACCCTAAAAGGGTTTTTTAAAAATGTAGTACTGCTTTTATTCTAGCTGAAATAAAACGAATAAGAATTTCTTCAAAAGAAAAAATATTTTCAGACACTGTGGAAATTTCCTTGCTCTGTTAAACATAATTTGGGAAATATTTAAAAAAGAAAATAAAATTCAAAGGGAAATAATAATTCTGACTTCAACTGTATAAACATTTATTATCGCAGTCGTGTAAATGATTAGTTAAAGCCTTTTTATGTTTATTCAGATCTTATTTTTATTCAACTACAGCAATAGCTGGATGCCTTTATCCATATTAAGGATTTCCTGGACTGTTCTACTACTTTTGTGAGGCATATATGGAATTTCTGCTCAATGAATGAATGAAACAGACATTACTTGCATTTAAAGTGCTACAATGCCCACATCACCTTATTTTGAGGAAAACTGAAAAAAATCTACCTCAAAAGAAATTTGAAGTATACACATTTCTAGCATATAAATCTTTATTTTTATTTTTGTACTATTTTTGATAAAACTTTTATTATGTCAAAATAGTAGCCGATTGAATATCAATATTTTGCAAGGTATTGAATTTAGAAATTCCAGTATCTTGACAACACTACACCTTAGTTAATTTGTTTGTAGCTTTGTATCACATTGGATAACAACTAACAATATAAAATAAATCATATTTTTTAGATTTGAAGACATGCAGAAAATACATTTTCAAAAAACAAACAGAAACTGCAAATCAGGAGAGGAGATAGGAAGCTCAAGAGGCATGATATGGCTCACAACAGACTAGTAAATGAGAAGTGGGATAATTAATTAATTATTTTTTTTTTCCTTTTTGGTGTTACAAGTCACAAAGCTTCAAAATGTATTGCTAAAAGTCAACTCAAAAGCCCTATTTATTATTAAACCATTTATAAATCTATTATAAAAGTAGATTACCTTTTGAAAGTGGTGGTATTTTAGCGGGGTAAATTAGAACATTATTTTTTTAATGGGGTGGGGGGGGTGGGGGGGGGATTGGGGGTCTTTGGGGCTAAGCCTTATCCCTTTCGACCCTAGCAACGCCCCTGGTACAGTTCTCATTTTCATTGAGCTGCATCTCCGACTGATCCATGAGCGTGTTTCTGCAGTATTCGTGGCGTGCAGCTTTCGGTTTTTATTGGGTTCATCCTATTTTGTGAACAAAAATAAACCAAAACAGCAACGGGAAACTTGTGGACTTGATATGCTGACAGGCTGGAGTTTGTGCAGTTCCCATAAACGCAGAAATATATCACAGTGATGATAAACTACACTAAACTAACAACCGATTCTGCTATATGCTACTGAGCTTCAATCTAAATAGTGCGCGCCTGTCACATCAGTCCCCTATGAAACGTCATATCGGTGGTTGGAAAAAAAGCGGGTGTCTACATGTGAGAAAAGAAACAGACACCTTTTCTTTAAAATGTGTGCTCTTGCGTGTCGTAAAACACTGTATATCATATTATTGTGTAGTATTTTCACAAACAATTCTACCTTTATTTGAAATTGTGTCTTTTAGCCTAAAAATGCTCTTTAAAACTGATGAGCGCACAGCAAGTGTTTTAAAAACAGTAAAATCAATACTTTGCAAGGGTTTCTGGTTGACATGCAGGCTTAATGACATTAGCCAGAAAATAAAATCTGAAATCATTTCCAGCCTGGATGTACAGTTTTTGACACAGAAATCATTTTGTCCAGCTTTTTAACACTGTAAATAACTCTGAATGCAGATTTTTTTTCATAATTAAGAATTTATGTATTTAAGTAAGTAAACAGCTTCCATATTCTTCTTTAATTTCAGAGATTACCTGAGTGGACACGAGAATGATAGGAGGTAAGTCATTACACAGTACAACATCACCAGTCAAATAGTAATAGTAAATATGATGAAATGAAGCGCACAAAATAAAGAATTCATCTGCAGCAAAAAATAAAAATAAATAAATAAAATAAATCAATCAATAAATGAATGAATAAATAAAAATCTTCATCCATAATAAGACATGAATTATGAACTGATTTATCTAATTTATCCATTTTTGCAAATTATCTCATAATTCTGTGCATTTTATCTCTACTTTATCAACTCTGTAAATGTAAAGTACAACTTCCCATTAACATAAAATTTAATCCATTCTCCATATTAAGATTTTAAATACATAGATAAATAAAACATTGTAGACTTCCTATCCACCCTACAGGCTAAACCATATGGATAGATAATATTTGCAACAGAAGTTAAAACACAACATGTTTTAATTAACAATTGTCTTTGTCAAATAGCCAATGAGTCCAAGCTTGAGAGAACACTTCTCATTGTTGGGAAAACAGGAGATGGAAAAAGCAGCACAGGGAATCTGATTCTCAAAAACCCAACATTCCCAACTGAATCTTCACCCAATTCAAAAACAAAACATAAGAATGTGGGATGTGGTGTAGTTGGTAATAGAAACATCACAGTGATTGACACACCTGGAATATTTGACACAAGTCAGGATGAGGAACAAATCAGAAAACAATTTATTCAGTGCCTGGTTGAATGCCCTCCTCGGCCACTTGTCCTCATCATTGTTCTGAAAGTTGGAAGATACACAGAGCAAGAAAGTAAAGTTCTGACAAAAATTCAGGAATATTCAGGAAATGATAAAGTGAAGCATTCACTGGTTTTATTCACCCACGGTGAAGATCTAAATGGTCAAACTATTGAGGAATTTGTAAGAAAAAGTCCTGAACTACAGGAGCTTGTAGATAAATGTGGAGGTCACTGTCACGTCATTGACAATAAACACTGGAATGATTGTAAAAGAGGATACAGGAGCAACAGAGTTCAGGTGAGAAACCTGCTGGAAACCATTGACGAGATGGTGATGGAGGACAGCTACTACACAAATGAGCTACAACAGAAAATTCAAGAAGAAATTCAAGAGGGCGTTAATTCAACTGATCCTGATTTGCCTCAAGAAGAAAGACAAGAAAAAGCAAAGAAAACAGTTTTTAAAAGACTTCTTATAAGGTTTGCGGGAGTAACAACAGGCACACTGATTGGTGCTCTAATGGGCATCGCTGTTCCAGTGGCATCCCTTGTGGCTTTAGTTAAAGGAATGAAAAACACATTCACAACTGCCAAAAAAGCACAAGCAGATGAAACAACATCAACATCTAAAATGACAGGAGAGATGGATGAACCACATTCTGAGGAGAAACACAAGGAATTAGCAGCAGTGTTGGGAGCAACAGCAGTAGCTGCAATTATAGCTTCTGCAGCAATAGAGACAGCAGCAGTGGACGCAGGAGCAATTGGGGCAGTAGCAGCAGTGGAAGCAGGCATTGCTGCAGGAGCAACAGCAGGAGCAGTAGGGGCAGCAGCAGTGGAAGCAGGGGTTGCTGCAGGAGCAGTAGGGGCAGCAGCAGTGGAAGCAGGGGTTGCTGCAGGAGCAGTAGGGGCAGCAGCAGTGGAAGCAGGGGTTGCTGCAGGAGCAGTAGGGGCAGCAGCAGCAGTGGAAGCAGGGGTTGCTGCAGGAGCAGTAGGGGCAGCAGCAGCAGTGGAAGCAGGGGTTGCTGCAGGAGCAGTAGGGGCAGCAGCAGCAGTGGAAGCAGGGGTTGCTGCAGGAGCAACAGCAGGAGCAGCGGCCGGAGCTACAGCAGCAGCTGGAGGAGCAGTAGCAGTGGAAGCAGGGGTTGCTGGGGCAAGCATTGGAGCAGCCGCTGGTTCAGGCATTGCTGTAGGTGTTGTTTTTGGTGCTGCAGCTCTTGCTGGAGCGATTGGTGGAGCCGTCACTGGATACAGAACAGCAGAAGAAGCTGATTCAGTGCTTGATGCCATTAGGTTTGCAGCCAAAGCTAACTATGAGAATGCGAGAGGGGTTGTTAAAAAAGCAGAAGATCTGCCTACCAAAGTTTATAAACGTTTTTAGTAGAATTAATGGCAAATTAAAGTGATAGTTAATCTAAAAATCATTTACCATTCTAAACCTTTTTGCATCTCTTCCCCAGTTGAGAAAAAAAACTGTATATTTTAAAGTACAGTTGGAACTGGGAGCCATTTACAACATAGTCATTTTGTTTTCATGTCTGTTGCCACAAAATGGATGCAATGATCAGAGCATACTAAAGGTATCTTGCTCTTAAAAATAATCAAGACATTTTAAGGGGCTCGAGTGTAGCGATGAAGCGGTATTGTAATTGTTAGAAAAGTTTAAAGGTAATAGTTCTGCCCTAAATCTGGTCAGGCAGATCAAACTGTAAGTTGTAGACTTGAAACTGGAGATCTTTTTAGATTTTTACCATGGGAGCAGCCATTGCCTAAAGGCCGGGACATACCTACTAAGGGTGTCACGATTTTGATTTTAAATCGAATTCGATCGAAATGTAAAAACAGGCTTGTTGAAGTGCTTGCTAAACTCTGCAGAGGCAGGAAACCCGTCAACAGAGCTTAAACCTTCAGGGCTCGACAATAAGGACTGCCCGATAGCCCGGAGCCAGCGTGCGAGACGCTCGGGTCAGTGTACAGTGCTGCCGTGTTGTCTGCCAGATCGAGCCAGAGCTGTGTGCTGTGACTGTCTGTCAATTGTGAGCAAATACAATCTTACGGTGCTTTCGCACATAGACGTTTGTTTCTGAATCTGTCTCGTTTCCCCCGTTAGCGCGGTTTGTTTGGCATAAATCCAGCAGTTGCGCTCGCATCCGTGCCAAATCAATCAGTCCGAGATCGCCTGAATGAGACAGTCTCTGTCCTATTAAGCGGATTGATTGTAGTGAGAAAACAAAACAATGCAATGAACTAACGACCCAGGCTATATCACAGTGTATTATGATCGTGTAATAGCCATATACACGGCTATATGAAGAGAGAATGATGAGCAGGGCGAGATGTCATTCTTACCGGTAATGCGAAAGTGAAAGCATGCTGAAATATTACTGAGAGCTGTTTATCCAGCCTGATCTCGGTTTATCCGTCAGGAAAATTGACCGAAGTTACTATCTGATTATTTTTTCATGTTTTAATCGTATAATATGTTGTGTTAGACCAGTTGTTTTGTTCATTTCAGCACTGACAGCTCAAAAGAAAGATCAACATTGATCTGCTTCGCGATCTGATGCAGTCTCGGTTCATCTGCTATGTCTCTATAATTTAAGCCTAAAATGCAGAATTCTAGCCAACGTTTCTTTATTAGATTAATTCAATAGATAGATTTTGGTAATTATGTGTGTAACTTACCTTTATTCATTTACTGTATTATTTGTTTATGGGTAAAACAAAGACCATGCAGGTCAAGTAGTTTAAACGGTAGGCTACTAATAATTTATTTGTTATTAATTAATTAATTATTCATAATCTAAAATCGAATCGAATCGTGTATGGCGGCAAATCAATGCCAATATTAATCGAGCGCAGCGGTGATGTTTGCGCGCGAGGAGAAGTGAACCGTGAGTAGATTACAGGTCTACACGCGAGAAAACTACAGCTCGCGAGCGCATAGGGGATCTTCACGCGCGCGCTCAACTGATCCAGCGCGAGAAAACAAGTCCCGCGCGAGGTCATGCCTACAGCGCGCGCGCGATCAGTTCTCTCCGCTCGCTCGCTGGTTCTTCTCTCTGCTCGCGCGAAACAGATTTGATTTTTGTCAGTCCTGGGGCGGGACTTGGTGTACTTGTTATCTCTAACGCTATTGGCTACTCTGCCTTTTCTGGAAGTTAGCCGGGATTGGACGCAGGTAAGCTTGTTTCCCCGTTAAATAAAAATATATAGGATATCTTATCATAATGTCACAATGTGAAACTAATAGACTCACTTTCTCAGTAATAATAGGTGGAGACTTACTTTCAATAATGAGATATTTCTTGTAATAATTAATCTCATAATAATGCCTATTCTTACCATCATGACCAAGTCATATAATGACATATCAAAATAATGAGATATATTTCTGTAACAAACTTTATTACTTGGGAGAGAAAGAGAGAGTTATACCACGTGGCAAAAGATCTCTCCATTAAACAGAAATTGGGAAAAAAATATACATGGGCTAATAATTCAGGACGAATAATTCAGACTTTAAATGTGTGTTTTGAACCATTTGATGAAGTTTAGCACCTACATTTAAACTAAACTCAAGCCAAATTTATGAACATGAACTCACGTGTTCAAATTTATAAAAAATCTTTTTTTTTTTTTCTTAGACTCATTGTCCTTGACTCATTTTCTTATGAAGAACAAGTCAGAATAAATTGGATGGACAATAGTATACAAAATAGGCTATACATGCATGCAGTGCATAAAGTACAAAGGTTTTTAGTAAATATATTGCCATTAGTCATTCCACTAAACAGTTAAAGTCAGAATTATTAGCCCGCCTGAATTATTAGCCCCCTGTTTATTTTTATCCTAATTTTTATTTAATTGAGAGAAGTTTTTTTTCAAACATTTCTAAACATAATAGTTTTAATAACTCATTTCTAATAACTGATTTATATTATCTTTGCCATTATGATAGTAAATAATATTAGACTAGATATTCTTCAAGACACTTCTATACAGCTTACAGTGACATTTAAAGGCTTAACTAGATTAATTAGGCAGGTTAGGGTAATTAGGCAAGTTATTGTATAACAATGATTTGTTCTGTAAACTTTCGAAAAAAATAAATAGGTTAAAGCGGCTAATAATATGGACCTTAAAGTGTGTTTTTTTTTTTATTAAAAACTACTTTTATTCTAGCCAAAATAAAACAAGAAATAAGTGGGATAATAATTCTGACTTCAACTGCATATGTGACCTTTAAGATGTGGGCATGTTGTATAAAAAAAGTGGTATTTGTATGCCTCTGAATTGGAATAATGTAATGGATAGTGAGTAAAGCCAAACGAAGACTGTAGAAATTAAATTGTTGCTCAATAGGTGGCGATAAACACCCATCTGAATGTCTGTCACTGTATTCTTTATGTTTGATTGGGCCAATCATTTTTGATTGAAGTCTTTATATGCAGGTTATTCAATCATTAACTAAAAATGAGATTGAAAAATAAAAATTATATATATATATATATATATATATATATATATATATATATATATATATATATATATATATATATATAGATTTTTTTCTTCCACTGATCTATATTACAAAAAAATTTAATAATTATAATAATATACAAAGCTGCACTGCACATCTGCATTGTATGGAAAGATCTAAAAACCAAATAAACTCTTCTGAAGACAATATTTCCTAGAAAGATCAACCCCAAGTGTCATAATAAGCTCTGCTGTTGTGGTTAATAATGAAGTAAAATACGACAAACCAGAAGTGCTGCACGGGACAAATCAAATGGGTTCAGAAAGTCATGTTACAAGAATGCAAGTCATTATTTTTGAAGATTAATTATCATTATTTAAATGTTTCTCGAGATTGAATTCTCATAAAGTTCTCAGAAAGTTTCTTATGATTATGACTTGCAAATTGTATATATATTTAATGGTGTGATCTTTTAACCTGCGTCCAATCCCGGCTAACTTCCGGAAAGGCAGAGTAGCCAATAGCGTTAGAGATAACAAGTACACCAAGTCCCGCCCCAGGACTGACAAAAATCAAATCTGTTTCGCATGAGCAGAGAGAAGAACCAGCGAGCGAGCGGAGAGAACTGATCGTGCGCGCGCTGTAGGCATGACCTCGCTCGCGAGAGCGTCCATCGTGCGCACAGATGATGATGTGCGCGCGCGGGACTTGTTTTCTCGCGCTGGATCAGTTGAGCGCGCGCGTGAAGATCCCCTATGCGCTCGCGAGCTGTAGTTTTCTCGCGTGTAGACCTGTAATCTGCTCACGGTTCACTTCTCCTCGCGCGCAAACATCACCGCTGCGCTCGATTAATATTGGCATTGATTTGCCGCCATAATCATGACTTAAAAATCTAAAATGTAATCGAATCGAAGATTTGGAGGATCGTGACACCCTTAATACTTACCGTTAACTCAAACTATGTGCGCCAACAAAAAACAATTGTGTTGTCACTAGGCTTGGGTATCGTTTGGGTTTTTTTCTGATACCGGAGCTAAATCAATACTTTTAAAACTGTACAGGTGCCAAATTGATTTTTAGACACAGAATTAATCAATATTTATAATAAGTTTAAAGTAAACATCAATTCATATTTTATTTATTTATATTTATATTTATATTTCTTTTGTTAGCATAAATGCAAGATTTGCATTATGCTATTAACATTACATTAGCTTACTATTAAGGCTGTCATCAAATTCAGGGAACACCTTTTTTCTGGGTTTGGGGCTTGTGACTACTTTTTCATGGACATCGGGATCTAATCGCCTCACAGCAGGAAGGTCGCTGGGTCACTGGTTTGAACCTCTGCTTAGTTGGCATTTCTGTGTGGAGTTTGCATGTTCTTCTTGCGTTTGTGTGGGTTTCCTCCGGGTGCTCCAGTTTCCCCCACAGTCCAAAGACATGCGGTACGTTGGCTAAATTGTCCGTAGTGTATGAGTGTGTGTGGATGTTTCCCAGAGATGGATTGCGGCTGGAAGGGCATCCACTGCGTAAAAACTAGCTGGATAAGTTGGCGGTTCATCCCGCTGTGGCGACCCCAGAATTATAAAGGGACTAAGCCGACAAGAAAATGAATGAATGAGGAATAAATAAGGTAATAATATGATTCAGGTGTTTACATGGGTTGCTTTTTGAATGTTACATTCATGATTCCCAGCTACATGTCACCACTCTTTAAATCTTTCCTTCGCCGTTTGTGTCTGTGGTCCTTTAAGATAATCAAAAATCACTGTTTACGGTAGACTCTTGAATAGAGTATTGTCTTAATCATATTAAAATCAGAGTATTGGTGTCCATGTAAACGTACTCAAATAATGTGTCAGATGATGTCACAAGCTGTCAGAGATGGTCCATTC